GTTAAATAAAAATACACATTGATCACATTTTTAAAAATGGTGTTATACATTGGCCATTGGCTTCCATGATATTTAAAGCTTGGAATCATCGATGGAAAATGTTGTATTGGTTGATCTCTTGTACTGGCCTGCAATTTCACGATCCCTGCATCTCATTTTTTTAGGTTTTATTGCAACACAATACATGACTAATATGTTGTTGGTTTTTTTTTTGTTCATTTTAATTCCAGACCTACTGTAAAAGGACAAAGTTTTGAACGTGTGCTGCAATAACAAGCAAGGTGTTTTATTTAGCCAGCTGAGCAAAAATACAACTTCTGTTGTGCTCCTACCTTACAATTTACATTTAGCCAACTACAGTACAATGTTAATTTTTCCAACTTTAAGCACAAGAACAACAATTAAGAGAGTTGACATTTGTTGCCCTCTTGTTGTTTGTATCACAAATGTCGGGAAACAAAACTGGAAAATAAACTGAGGAGGTTTCTGTAGCATGTCTGTGCTGAAACGTAAACTGATTTGTCAATAAAGTTTGTTAAACACCAGTTGAACAGCATTGACTTGTGTGACTCAGCATGATTGACACGTTCTTTGTTTATTGATCACATCAGACACCGCTGTGTGTGTCAATTATTTTATTTAGTCTGCTGGGTGCACATAACACATCATGATCATGGGTAGACACAAGCAAGAAGTGCATCATGCCCATCAAACAACCACTATGTGGCTGTGAAATACTATAATTCATTCAAGGACATTCCTGCAGGAAATACTATCTAAAAAGTAACATTTACTCAATTCCTGGGCAAAGGTCAGAAAGTGTACCTCAAAGTAGTTCAAATATTGCATGGTATTTAGATGAGAAGGTGTTTTGAACTGCAATATTATCCATAATAGCACAAATATACTGCTGATGGATAAATAAATAGAGGCGAAAAAAGGGATGAAAGACAACCGGCACATTTGCTCTTTATTGCGTGGATGAAATGAAGCCCTAATGTACAACATGTGTGCCATCTACACAAGGCTATTTTCCCTTTTAATCACCTCTCAGCTAAACTCAGATGAACTAAATGGGATGTCTGTTATGCTCATTAAATATGAATGACGAAGAATTGGGAAGAGAAATAAAAGCATTAGCAATTCAAAACGAGCAAGATATGGGACCAGTGTTTAGAGAGTTGAAAAACACAAGTAATCAGAAAAAAACATACGTGATGGAGGTAAAAATAATACAAATAATACATTGGAACAATGAAAACTCCTCCACAGGGCACTGAAGTCTAAAGTTTTGATTAACTACTACTTTAACTTTTAAAAAATTTATCCATAAGGACAAGATAAAATGAGAGGAAATTTAAAAATAAAATCATTTTATGGAGATTTCCCTGGGTAATTCTTGAAAGGACCAATTTGGGATGCTATAAATTCAGTCACAGCTGCCAAACAGCTTCGCTTAAATCAGGGCAGTCAAAAGGCAAGTAAGTACTGTACTTTAAAATCAGCTACAGGACAAATTCAAAGGGGCTGTATATGATTGTAAAAATCACTGATCACACTGGATGGACATCATCTCAGACCAGACCAAGCCAAACAAAAACTGAAACCAGAGAAAAGTGGACTTCATTGCAGCTCAGGGGTGTTTAGTCTTAGGGAAACCAGACTAAAGTCAACTTTTCTTGAGTTTTTCTTTAGCGTAGGGGAAAAAAAGGTTGTTTCTAGTTGAAGAAAATAGATTTCACTCTGCAATCTCACTTTTACAATGCAATGTGGAATTACATTCATGATCTTTGGCCTGAGTGGCTACAACAGCGCAGAGTAGAAAATTTAACGCAGCTAAATTTATTTTTATGCCCTTGACCCTTACTAAAAAGTGCAATAGATTTGCCAAAGTGTAGAGCAAGAAGGAACTCAAAATGCTTGTAATGGAAATGCATCCATGAAAAATGTGAAAAAGGTTGTTGATGGTAAAGAACTCACCAAGAGTCATCACACGAATCTTCGCCTACTCTCTATTCAATGAGCAGCTCAGAGTCTTTCTTTGTACTGATTGAATATTCAAGCCAGTGACTTTTGAAATCAAAACAGAACTAAAAGAGGAATGAAATGACGGTACAATCAACAGACTGGGACAAAAACAACTCACAACAAAAGCCAGTGTCACTCTGTATCCGTGGATGAATGAATGAGTAGCATTTGCAGACGTGCAGGACAGTATAAACGGAGTAACCATGAAATTGTTAACACTGACTTCACTTGCACATCCTTATCCAAATGCACTGGTTTCAATGTAAAAACCATAGCATAAAATTGAGATCAACATAGTATTTTGTACTGTTACATGACAGCTGTACATAAACAAAAGTGTCAATGGAAACCAAAAATGAAAATAAATAAACTGCACTCAAATTTCACAGGAGATTGGGGTTTTATCTAATTTTGTTGTTTGATTTGGTCATCACTGTCACCACACCACTGATTAATGAGCACACAGAGAAAATACCAGATAGACTATCAACAAGAGTATTAAGGTTTCATTTTACTGTGGTAGCTTTTAAATAAAGTACAACCCAAAGCGCCTGCTTTTGCTTGCAATCCTACCACCCGAGCAGAGTCTGAAAAGGGTTCAGTTAACCAAAGCAGAGGAACTACTACAGTGGAGCCATGTAAAAATAAACATTTAACTTGCCTGAATAGGGTTTTTGTTTGTGTGAGAGTTTAAAAAAGCTGCAGGAAAGTGTGTCTTGTTAAACACTATAATGTGTGTTTGGAAGTGTGTACTGTGATGGGTGATATGAACAAATATACTGTATGCAGTCCCATGCGCTCATGTGTTTACTGCTTAACCGATGGCCTCGAATGGAAATGACAATGCTTCTGAATGTGCGTGTCCGTGCATCTTACCTGGTCGAAATGTGGAACGGTAGCCTCCCTCCTGTGAAGCTGGAGCTGCTTGTCAATGTTGTCCTTCAGGCACTGACACACACGGCGCTTCTGGTCTGCAGAATAGGCTTCCAGGCTGAGCAGACAGTCACACTTCTAGAGACAGTGAGAGAGAGGAGAACGAAAAAAAAAGGGGGTGGAGGCAAAGATAGTGGGCAATTAGGTATCTACAGTCAAAGAAATAAAGACAAAGCAGCCTGTCCAGTTGACTGGAGAGAAAATGGTTTTAGATGAAGAGTAAATGATGCCAAACAAAACGCCAAATGCCAAAAACTTGAGTGAAATTAGAGTCATTGTGTCTGAGAAATGAAATAAATGTAAGGGTATTAACAAGATAATTATCCAAGTATAAACTTTAATATACAAGTTTGTTCTTGTTCTGTGTCCAGTGTTTTAATCTGGTTTCACTGCCTCATTCAAACTCCAAATTTAGCTGTTATCTGAGCTCGTGCCTTGTACAGCAAAATGCTAGCTTTAGTGAAATTGAATAATGGCTCCCTTCCACTCTGAGCAAAATTTGATACGGCAACAAAATGATTATGTAACCAGAATTTAAATGGCACTCACTCACACTGAACAAATCAATACATTCTTTGGAAATACATCAGACAACCAGTGCTAAATTGGTTAGAGGCTGACAAGGTCTGGCTTAAAATCTTTTCACTGAAAAGGACAAAAATATTTGCTTACGATCTGCAAAACAACTGCAAACGTTAAGTGTTATCTGATCTCAGCGATGGTCAGAGAAAGAAGTGAGAAACTTTTAAAACGGACTTAAACCCAAACGTTTTGGAGTCATTATTGTGTCAGTTATATTTTACATAGTCCCTCGCTACTTCGTGGTTCGTTTTTCGCGGACTCGCTCTATCGCGGTTTTTCAAAATAAGATTATAAATTACACACACTTGGCTAAGTGATGGATGAGACGCACGGTCGGCATGGAATTTTATTTTAAATAAATTATTTAAAATTATTTAGTACCTGCTGCGCCCGTGTGCAGCCCACAACATGCAGGAGACGCTTCCTCCTGCAACATGTCATATCGCCGCTCTGTAGCGAGAAGTGGGTGTGGCCAAGAGCGCTGGCAGAGAGCAGCCAGAGGCAGAAAGCTGATTTCATGACATGCTGTGCTCTTTTTAGAGCGTTTAGAGTTTAGAAACATTGTTTAGAATACTGCAAGAGTGTGGAAAGGGTTAATATATATATATATATATATATATATATATATATATATATATACACTGTATATTAGGGATGTGCAATATTGGATTTTTGGCCGATATGTTAAAACTTATTTGGCCGATAACCGATACCAATACCGATATTTTTTCCCTAAACCTATTTACAGAGACTACATAGTTTTCTCTACTTTGAAATTAAAATACTACATTATTTTGGATGGTCTTTGTCACGTTGGCCAGCTACCAAATGCAGATGCCAAACAGGAGGCTGAAAATGATGCAACACTTCAACTTGTATTATGTTTAATGTGAAATTTATTCATGACATTTACTCTCTCTAACACAATGACAACACTTGAACATTGCAAATTTGTAAACTTTCACGAATCTAAACTCAACGGTGCACATGATGTCATAATGTTGTCTTTGTCACTGGATTGTCACACAAAAACAGAGCCTTTATATTTATATATGTACAGTGCCTTTTACATCTGAGTTATTTTGATGAAATGGCAAAAGTCCGATGTTTAACTTTATCGCTAATATTGGCCGATACCGATACTATTCAAATAATATTGTGCATCTCTAATATATATATATATATATATATATATATATATATATATATATATATAATATGTAAAATACTAAAATAAACTACTACTTGTATTACTATTCCTACTTTGCAGTTTTTCACTTATAACAGGGCTTCAGGATACAGATCCCCCACGATAAATGAGGGACCACTGTACTGTTAAAAAACTATTTTGTTTAATCAATGTTATTTTTGCTTCATCACATTATTGAGAATTTTTTATTATTTGAAGATTTTGCATTTCACCTGTACTGAAAATAAGCAAAGTGTTAACTATATAAAAACTTTGTTATGATACATGTTCTCACATGTTCACACATCAGTACCAGTCAGTTTAATATTCTGAGGGATTTTAGCAAGTTTAAGATGATCTTTGTGGAAATTTGGTTTATGTCTTTATCTATATTTCCCTTGTCAAAATCAACAGAATGATCAAAATGATAATTAACATAATGATACAACACACAAGGAGAATTTTTGTTTACACAATTTATCTGCTCTGCTGACGTACAGTTTTTTGAAACGTTACTAAAGTATAACAAGGAGCACTCTTTTTGACCAATTTGAGTCTTTCTTTTAAAACAGGTGGTAAAACAACTTTGTCTTGCTTTTTTACCTCACGTATTTCTGATAAACATTAATTTTCCTATTATTTATTGGGAAATGAGCTACAAATCTACCTGCCCTAAAATACCAAACTTAAGATTCAGCCCTTGTTGAACTGCTTACACAGCATAAAGGCATGGATAAATTAAAAATTAAAAATGTTGTTATTGATCCTAACTTTAATTTAAGCCTTTTAGCTTCTTATAATTTGATCTTTGTGGAAAAATATTAATGGGGACTTGATAGTCCATTTAAACTTGGCAAACACATCAGCTCAGTTAAAACAAGCTGCTTTCAGTCACGACTTTCAGCCGAGGCAAAGACAGCTCTTGTCCACAGAGTTTGAAATTTTCAAACATATTTTATAATTTTATTTCCTTTCTTTTTTATTTTCCTTTCTAACTTATAAAATTCAAAGCATTGCAAGATGTAATACTTTAATCCTTTTGCACTTTTCATAACATTTGATAATTTTTAAATTGTTTACTCTGATTTTGTTAATTAATGTGTTTCAGTTTCTCGCACAGCATTTTGGTGCAACTTGCGTGATTTTACATGAGTTTAATAAATAAGTTGACAGTGACATTAATACTATGTTTGTTATTCTATTTGTGTTGGTTTCTTAATAATGAAAAAATCCAAACCTATGGTGTGCAATCACTTATTTCGTGCTTTCCCTTAATTTTTCTATGTAATAAATTCCATTTGCTTCGGCTGCAGTTTCAGGCAGTGTCAGGAAGAAACATTTGTCCTGACATTTTTGGGCATGAGGCAAGATATGAATAGAATGGTTCCATTTTGTGCAAGTCTTCAGAGATTGACTGAATTCCTCGGGGCTTGTCTTGACGCTCACTGACCTGGTCAGTGGTGAGTCATGTAGCTAGTTTATTTGCCTGTTTTCTGGCAGCAAGGACCTTTGCATGCCCAACTATGTTTGTATCACGTGTGCCGTCTCCTTCAGTGTCTCTTGGTGCTGTCAAAAAGGACCATTGCTGCTGTTGTTTTGGGGCTTGGCAGTTAAATCTGTGTCATTGTTGCGAAGATGTGAAGAAAAGGGGCACTTTAAACATGCATTATTGATAGCAGTGTTGAAGATTTATGCATGAATGTACTGCACAAAAGGCAGAACTGAGAGTTAATGAGAAGAACTACATTTAGAAAAACTGGCACTAAAGGATTTTAAGTGCAACAAGAGGCAAAACAAAACAGTTATTCTTCCTAAAACTGTAAAAAAAGACAACATTTAGAAAGAAAAAAGGCTTAGCTACACTTGCAAAAGCATTCCTGATATTGAGCCTGACTGTTCAATTGCAGCAGGAGATGATGAAATGGGTGCTTTTTGAGAGAGGACAGAAATCAATGCTGATGTTCTTTGATATCCATCATTTAGACTGAATTGGAGTCTATAAGGGTACAACAAAGCCTATAATACTTGAACACACACAAACAACTAGCCTCTGGGTAAACTAGTACCATGCTGCTCTTAGAGAAAATCTCCCATTTCTAGGATTAGTTTCATGTTCTCATGTGAAGCACTGCATATTCTGCATGTTGTGAAAGGTCATAAAAGCTTGCAAAAGCTTCTAAAAAAGCCCCAGGGTGAAGAGAAAAATGCATCGCTATCAAACTAGAAATAATGATGTCCCTACTGCTTCCTGAATAGTAAACATGTTGAAGATATTGCTCAGAATGAAACGCTGTGAGCATCAAAGCCGATAATAAAAAGATGCAGAAAACAATGTAAGGTTTTCCTGGAAAACACTGGCTTGAATGATGCAACACTAAACTCCAGCAGCAGAAAAAACAAGTCTTTAAAAAATAAGGGTCCTACAAACAGGAATGTACCTGCAATGACTCAGACACATAAATACACAAACCAGTGATACTTTCTCTGTGCAGCAGCTGTCTGAAATCTCAAGTGCAAACTTAATGTAGCTCCATATTCAGACAACTGACAATTAAAAAAAATAAGAGCTAGAACTCAACCAGCTGGGACAGTAATTCATTTTCAAACGCTGGTCCCAGAGCAGTGGGAAGGCTTCCATCCTTAATCTGTCAAAGAGAGGAAGTGTGTGTGTTTACACAGTCTGTAGTGTAAATTTGAGTCACATGATTCATGGCATACGTCAAAACATTTAATAGCGTCAAATATTCTGTCTCAAGAGACACAAACCCCTTATATTGTGGATGATACAGGACGATGCTCAGTTTTTTTAACAGATGGTAACTTTTTCCATATGTGTGTGTGTGTGTGTGTATGTACAGGTCCTTCTCAAAAAATTAGCATATTGTGATAAAGGTCATTATTTTCCATAATGTAATGATAAAATTGAAACTTTTATATATTTCAGATTCATTGCACACCAGCTGAAATATTTCAGGTCTTTAATTGTTTTAATACTGATGATTATGGCATACAGCTCATGAAAACCCAAAATGCCTGTCTCAAAAAATGAGCATATCATGAAAAGGTTCTCTAAACAAGCTATTAACCTAACCATCTGAATCAGCGACGTAACTCTAAACACCTGCAAAAGATTCCTGAGGCTTTTAAAAACTCCCAGCCTTGTTCATTACTCAAAACCGCAATCATGGGTAAGACTGCCGACCTGACTGCTGTCCAGAAGGCCATCATTGACACCCTCAAGCAAGAGGGTAAGACACAGAAAGAAATT